TTATATAGCGCTACTGTGCTCCCTTCTAAGAGCATAAGCCTACCATGTTTTCCTATCTATGGTACTTTATAATGTTGACCAGGAGATAGGCTTACCATAGTTTTCATTGCCTGTGCCTATACAAATATGAAGAAAGCTGTCATCAAAACTTGCAAGAGGGCATCAGAAATTGGAAAGAAAACCCTGGAGACAATACTAAAGCATTTTAATCTCTAAGAACCAAATGGAGAACAGGTACAGGGAGGTCAAAAGTCAGTCAAAACATAGACCACTCATTTTCAAAGGCTGCTGAAGAGTCTAGCACCAAAGGGTTTTAGTTCCAATGCGAATTGTTTTTGAAATGCTGTGTCACCAGTGTTCTTCATGGCACAAAGGACAGAATTACTTAGAAAAGCACGCATAGCTACGTAGTTCCGTGATGAAAAAAACCTCAGTTGTGAAGAGGTGCCAGAAGTCTCTGGATCCATTTATTTTGCTTGTATTTTTCTTTCTATGATAACAGGTAAATATATGTCTTAAGTCTGTTGGTGGGTGCCATCAAGTCAATTTTTCTCTCACAGCAGCCTCTTAGGAGAAATTACAACTGCCCCATAGGGTTTTCTGGAGCACTGATGTTGGAATGAGACACATTGGGCTGCTAACTGCCAGGTATAGAGTTGTAATCCACCAGCAGAAAGATGAGGCATCTTCCTCATGGGTCTGTTTTCCTCGTTGATAAGTCAGGACTCAAAGGATTAGGGCCTACCCTACTCTAGTATGTTTTGGTGGTGATGTGCCCTGTAGTCAGTTCCGACTCATAGCGACCCTACATAAGGTTTCCGAGGCTGTAAATCTTTAAGGGAACCTTAAATCTTTCTCCCATGGAACAGCTGGTAGCTTTGAACTGCTGACCTTGAGGTTAGTAGCCTGACTCGTAATCACTACGCTACCAGAGCTCCTTCCAGTACGTTTTACAGGGCCCCATTCACAAGTACAGGGATTAGGATTTCAAAATCTCCTTTTGGAGGACAGAGTTACATCCATAGCATCCCTGAACCTCTCTGAGCCTTGATCTTCTCATCCATACAATGCTGATGTTTGTTCTGTGTACATTCTGGCTTATTCTAAAGATCAAATGACATGAGATTCCCCCCTGTCCCTCCACACACAAGGATGGGATTGGAATCTAGAGTCTTCTGGCAGTTCTCTCCAGACCACATCCTTTTTTGCAAGCTGAGAAATCTAATCTTATTGTCCAACCCTAAGGATCCAGAAGGCATGGGCCCACTAAAGAACATTAACCCAGTTTTGTCTTCCAAGTATTTCTAGATAACAACTGAAGAAAATTCCAGGTAAATAAATAGGCAGTACTTTTTCTCTTTTTCCCCCACTCATATTTGGTAAACAGGGCCTTGGTAACTTGATGATCTGCTTCGGTAGCAGATATTCCTCCCCTCTACCTGTGAGACTGATCAGAACAGGACAGAGAAGATAGTATCCAACAGAAGGAAGAGGCTAGATTTCCCTACAACGTTGTGGTTGTTGTGGCTTCTGAGGAGCAGCTGGTGAGTTTGAACCCCTGACTTTGCCTATCCTCCAGCGCCACACCAGGACTCCTCCCTATAAAACATGGATGAGGCCACTCTCTGGGAGTAGGGCCCAGAACCTCATCAGCTGAAGGTAAAGCTGTTTGATACTCTGAGTAAGTGTCAACTGCTACAGTTTGATGAACTGGACTTTTGCTTATGGATGAGGTTACTCAAAATTCCAACTGGAATGGGTGATTCTTCAGATTAAGGAATATGCTTATCTCCTCAGTGTACTGGGCTAATAGAAATGGGCAGTTTAGACATTGGCTTTCAAAAACAGGGGTGCTATAAAGGTATGGACTCCTGGTGTGACACTGTAGGACCAGCACTGGACTGTGATCCAAGAGGTTGGCAGGTCAAATCTACCAGCCGCTCCTTGGAAACCTTATACAGGGTTGCCATGAGTCAGAGTTGACTCGATGGCACTTAATAATAGCAACAGAATAAGAACATTATCATCCAGAAGGAATGTAATGATTGAAATGGTATGCTCAATCTTTTTCTTCTCAAGTGTCATTCAGTTGGCTTTAATTCTAATGACACTGTGTCCAACAGAACAGAACACTGCCCAGTCCTGGGCCATCCGTACAACCGTTGTTTTGTTTGAGCCCATTGGTACAGTCACTGTGTCAACCCATCTCATTGAGGATCTTAATCTTTTTCACTTTATCAGGTATAATGTCCTCTCCAGGGACTAGTCTTTCTTGATAACGTTTTCAAGGTACGTGAAAATAAATCTCGCCATCCACTGTTCTTAAGCAACACTCTGGCTGTACTTCTTCCAAGACAGATTTGTTCATTCTTCTGGCAGTCCATGGTGTATGTAAGCCTTTGGCGCCATAATTCAAAGGTGTCAATTCTTTGGTCTTCCCTTTCATTGTCCAGCTTTTGTATGTGTATGAGGCGATTGACAGTTTGCTTGGGTCAGGCACACTTAGTTAGCTAGTACTGTCCTGATTTTAACCTCCACAGTATCCCCTTGTTCTATTCGAACAGCTGCCTTTTGGTCTATGTACAGTTTCAGCATGAACACAATTAGGTATCCTGAAATTCCTATTCTTCACAGAGCTAACCATAATGTGTGCTAGCCACATAGTCGAATGCCTTTGTGCAGTCAGTAAAACACAGGTTAACATCTATCTGGTGCTCTTTGCTTTAGCTAAGATCTGTGTGACATCAGTAATGATATCCTCCCTTCCAGGTCCTCTTCTCAGTCTGTTTTGAATTTTTGGTACTTCCTTGTTAATGTACTGCTGTAATCATTCTTGAAATTACCTTCAGCAGAATTTTACTTGCTTGTGATGGTGATATTGTTCAATAATTTTGCATTCTGTTGGATCACCTTTCTTTGGCATGGCACAAATATGGATCTCTTCCAGTAGGTTGACCCCGTAACTCTCTTCCAAATTTCTTAGCATAGATGAGTAAACGCTTCCAGTATTACATCCATTTGTTGAAACATCTCCACTGGTGTTCTGTCAATTCCTTGAACCTTGTTTTACACCAGGTTGAACTTCTTCCTTCAGTACCATAGGTTCTTGATCATACGCTGCATCCTAAACAGGAGTCCTGGTGTGGCACCTGGTGTGACTTCAGCGTCAGTGGTTCAAACTCAATATCTGCTCCTCATAAACCTTATACAGGGTTGCTATGAGTCGGAACCGACTCCATGGCACTTAACAACAACAACATGGTTGACCCTGCACAGGGTTTCCGGGGCTGTAAATCTTTATGGGAGCAGAACGCCCCATCTTTCTCCCGCAGAACCGCTGGTAGTTTCTAACTGCGGACCTTCAGGTTAGCAGCCCGATTCATAACCACTATGCTACCAGAACTCCTCACATACCGTGTTAAGTACCCTCCAAATCGGTTCTTTCCCTTGCACGACAGAATGAAGCAGTGATCCTGCACTGCCCTCACCATTGTTGGCACGTTTGAGCCCATTGCTTCTGCCACTTTGTCAGTCCTTCTCCATGTGTATAGTCATCTTTTTGTTGTTGTTAAAAGGTATTTGCAATAATAAATAAGTCATTGGTCTTACAAAATTCTTTTATGCATTTTCTGTCATTGTTTGTATCACCAAGGCCGTACTTTCCAACTACTCATCCTTCTTTCCAAACTTTACATTCCAATCACCAACAGTTATCAATGAATACTGATTGTATGTTTGTCCAATGTCAGATTATACAAGTTAGTAAAAATCATCAATTTCTTTATCTTTGGCATTAGTAGTTAGTGTGCACATTTGAATGATAGTCATATGAAGTGGTCTTCCTTGTCGTTGTTAGGTGCCGTGGAGTCAGTTCTGACAGCAACTTGCTGAGACTATAAATGTTTACAGGAGTAGAGAGCCTCTTCTTTCTCCTGTGGAGCAGCTGGTGGGTTTGAACTGCCAACCTTATGGCTCACAGAACAGTACTTATCTTATAGCATCACACCAGGACTCCATAAAGATTTAAAGCCTAGGAAACCCTACAGGGCAGCTCTACTCTGACCTATAGGGTCTCCCTGAGTTTAAAATGACTCATAGGCACAAAACAACATATAGCTTGATGGCGGGGATAGTTGTATGCTGTGGAATCGGTTCTGACTCACAGTGACCCAATATAGGATTTCCGAGGCTGTACATCTTTATGGAAGCAGAAAGCTTCATCTTTCTCTTGTGGAGCGGCTGGTAAGTTCGAACTGCTGATCTTGCAGTCAGCAGCCCAACTCATAATCCCCTATACTACCAGGACTCCTTATATATCATTTATAAGGCATGTTTCCCTTCTCAGAGCTCTGTTTTCCCTTTATATCCATAATTTATGAAATATCTGTGCCGTTTTAATGGCTTGTTGATTTTACTTAGTTTCCTTTTTCATTTTATTGATTGGTGATAAAAGATGCATTAGGCTTGAAAGTGCTTACATCAATGAGGAGATGGGAATTTGGAACAAAGACACTTAATGGTTAAAACGTGAAAACAAAGGGTGATGCTGTCCTGTTCTGTTTGTATAGGTAATGAATGCATAATGATGAGGCTGAAGCGATTTAACTAGACCTTTTTTTTTTTTGGTATTCTGAAAAGTTGAATTCTAGAGCAATAGAAGATAATTCTGATGTGCTATTTAAATTTTCCTTACAAACTTAGGCATGAGTTTTTTTTTTAAAAAAGGAAATACACCACCAACAAAACAAAAGAGATCAAATGAAACCATTGGAAGCAGCTGCTTTTTGCTGTTGTTAATATCAGTTCAAGTCCTCGTCTGGCCCTTGAACATTTGAGAACAAGGACCAAGCACATTGTGTATCTTTCCCGAGTCTTAATCCACTGACAGCTGTGTGTGGTTTTCTTTTTCCTTGGGTGAGGGAGATAATGCCCGTATATAGCAGGACAGTGGATCATGCTTCCTGAACTTATTAAAGAGTAGCCCTCTTTGGGTTTTCTAGACTAGAGAAGAAGACAAGAACCAGGATGGGAAAATGGATGCATTGCATTTGAAACTGGACCTTCCCCTGCAGTCCACGGAGCATGTGCTTGGTGTGCAGCTCATCTTGACTTTCTCCTACCAGCTGCATGTGAGTTGACTCACTGGGGAGACCAGCCTTCTCCCTACCCCCACCCCCACCCCCCTTGGCCTTTAATAGAACAGAGTCCTCTTTCTGATTTCTTTGAATACCCATTCTTTTCCGAGGAGTAATTTGGGATGTAAATTAGGTAAAATGCATATTTCTCATCAGTGTCATTAATTAATACGACCTACCAGTACTTCAAGGATCTCTGGTAGCGTGGTGGTTACGAATCGGGCTGCTAACCTCAAGGTCGACAGTTCGAAACTACCAGCCATTCCGCAGGAAAAAGATGAGGCTTTTTGCTCCTGTAAAGATTTATAGCCTTGGAAACCCTGTGCAGGGAGGGTCACTATGAGTCAGAACCGACTCCACGGTGCTTAACAACAACCACAACAACGAATACTTCAGGAGCACTGTTGGTTAAGTGGCCAAATGCTCATCTACTATCTGCATGGTCACTGGTACGAACCCACCAGCCTCTCCACAGAAGGAAGTGGTAGTCTGTTCCCGAAACATCCCCCTGCGGCAGTTCTGCTCTGTCCTGTAGGGTTTGTTTGTAGTTCAGGGGGGTTCTGGGGGCTTCCTGCATAGCTCACCTGTGTATGTGAAGGACCACTGGGCTTCAGGTCCAGACAGACGACTCCTAGGGCCCAGAGACCTTCTAATGTGACCACAGTGGTTTTCATGTCTGCTTTTAATGATTTCAGAGGATGTCCACGTTCGTGATGCAGAGCATGGCATTTATCCAGTCCTCCTTCCCTGTTCCGGGGTCGGAGTTGTATGTGAATGGAGACCTGAAGCTACAGCAGAAGCAGCCCCTAAGCTATAGTGGCTTAGATGTGCGGTACAACGTAAGGATGCGTCTTACTGCTCAATTTCTTTGTTTCTGTGTGTTGTTGTTGATCAAGTTCTTTGAAGATGGAGAAAAAGTTGGAAATAGTTTTTTTGTGTGTGAGTTGTAAAGAGGAGGACTTCTGAGGAATACTTGCTAGGAATACTTTTAAAATATAGAGACAAATTTACCTACTTTTACACCTAGACAGAGAAAAAAGGCAAAAAAAAAAATACCTATTTTTATCTTTATCAAATAACTTTTTTACTGTTTTGGGTTAAACACACACACACACATACTTACTTATATGTTGTTGTTGTGAAGTGCTGTTGAGTTGGTTCCAACTCATAGTGACCCTGGATAGGGTTTCTAAAGAGCAGCTGGTGGATTTGAATGTGGTTAGCAGTCCAGTGATTATCTTATAGCGCCACCCAGGACTCCACATGATATAGTTGTTGTTGTTAGGTGCTGTCGAGTCAATTCCAATTCATAATGACCCTGTATACAACAGAACAAAACACTGTCTGGTCCTGCGCCATGCTCACAGTTGCTGCACTTGAGCCATTGCTGCTGCCACAGGGCCAGTCCATCTCGTTGGGGGTCTTCCACATACATACACAGGGTATATTCCAAGTGATATTTTTTGGTTAACATAAAACATTTGAAAACTAATACTGTTGTATTGTTGTTAGGTGCCATCGAGTTGGTTCTGGCTCATAGTGACCCTATGCACAACAGAAGGAAACACTGCCTGGTCCTGTGCCATCCTCACAATTGTTATATTTGAGCCCATTGCTGCTGCCACTCTGTCAATCCATCTCATTGAGGGTCTTCCTCTTTTGTACCAAGAATGATGTCCAAAGTAGTAGAGATGAAGTCTTGCCATCCTCGCTTGTAAAGAGCATTCTGACTGTCCCTCTTCCAAGATAGATTTGTTTGTTGTTTTAGCAGTTCATGGTACTTTCAATGTTCTTTGCCAATACTATAACTCAAATGCACCGCTTTTTCTACTGTCTTCCTTATTAATTGTCCAAATTTCACATGCATATGAGGTGATTAAAAATACCATGGCTTGGGTCAGGTGTACTTTAGTTCTCAGTGACATCATTGCTTTTGAATGCTTTCAGGAGGTCTTTTGCAGCAAATTTACCTAATTTAACACTTTGATTTCTTGATTGCTGCTTCTTTTGAGTACTGAGAAAATGAAGTTTTTGACTACTTCAATCTTCTCTTCATTTATCATGTTGTTATTTATTGGTCTACTTGTGAAGATTTTTGTTTTCTTTACATTGAGCTGCAACCCATTCTGAAGACTGTAGTCTTTGATGTTCATCAGTAAGTATTTCAAGTCCTCTTCACTTCTAGCAATCAAGGTGGTATCATTTGCATATCACAGGTTGTTAATGAAGCTTCTTCCAAACATGATGCTACGTTCTTTTTATAATCTAGCTTCTCAAATTATATCCTCAACAAACACATTGAATAAGTATGGTGAAAGGATACAACCTTGATGTACCACTTTCTGATTTTGAATGATTAAGTGTCCCCTTGTTCTGTTCAAACTACTGCCTCTTGGTCTTTGTTCCTTCACAAGGTTCCTTTTGAGCACATTTAAGTGTTCTGGAATACCTATACTTTACAATTTTATCCATAGTTTGTTATGATATACACAGTCAAATATTTTGCCATAGTCAATAAAGCACAAGTAAACATCTTTCTGGTATTCTATTTTCAACCAAGATACATCTGACATCAGCAATGATATCTTTACTTACATGTGCACTCCTGAATCCGGCTTGAATTTCTGGCAGCTCTTTTGTCAATGTACTTCTTCAACTGTTTTTGAATTACTTTCTACAAAATTTTATTTGCATATGATATTAATGATATTGTTTAATGAATTCTGCATTCTGTTGGGTCACCTTTCTTTTGAATGGACACAAATAAGGATCTCTCCCAATAGATTGGCAGCTAGCTGCCTTTCAAATTTGTTGGTATAGACAAGTGAGTACTTCCAGAACTGCATCAGTTTGTTGAAATGTGTCAATCGGTGTTCTGCCAGCTCTTTGCCAGTGCCTTTGATGTGGCTTGGTGGTCTTCCATTAATACCATCTGTTCTTGATCATATACTACCTCTTGAAATGGTGGCACACTGAACAATTATTTTTTGGTACAGTGACTCTGTGTATTCCATCTTCTTTTGAGGCTTCCCATGTCATTCAATATTTGGTCACAGAATCCTTCAATATTACAGCCTGCTACTTGAATGTTTTCTCAGCTCTTTCAGTTTGAGAAGAACACTGAGTGTATTTTTCCCTTTTGGTTTTCTAACTCCAAGTCTTTGCACATTTCATTAAGTGCTTTGTCTTGAGCCTCTCTTTGGAGTGTTCTGTTCCGGTCTTCTACTTCATTATTTCCTCCAGTTGTTTTAACATTGCTGTGTTCAATAGAAAGATTCAGAGTCATTTCTGAAATCCATTTTCATCTTTTCTTTCTTTCCTGGCTTTAAAAAGACTTTCTGGTTTGCTCATGTACGATGCTCTTGATGTCATGCCACAACTCCTCTGGTCTTCAGTTGTTAGTATTCAATGTGACAAATCTGTTCTTGAGTTGGCCTCTTAATTCAGTTAGGACAAACTCAAGGTTGTAGTTTTGCTCTTACGGACTTGTTTGAATTTTCTCTAGCTAAGGCTGACTATGGAATAGACCAGCAAATGCTGTGGTGAAAGACTATAAACCTGATGCACACCTTTCCTGATTTTAAACCACTCAGCATCCCCTTGTTCTGTTTGAAGGTCTATGTGCAGGTTCCTCATGAGTGTAATGAAGTGTTCCGGAATACTCATTCTCCGCAATGCTGTCCATACCTTGTCATGAGCCACACAATCAAAATCCTTTGCATAGTGAATAAAGCACAGATAAACATCTTTCAGGTATTCTCTGCTTTCAGCCAGGATCCATCAGACGTCAGCAATGATATCCTTCATTCCATGGCTTCTTCTGAATCCAGCTTGTACTTGTGGAAGTTCTCAGTCTGTGTGTGGTTGCAGCCACTTTTGTGTTATCTTTAACAAATTTTACTTGCACACTATATTAATGATAGTGTCCGATAATTTCCATGTTCCATTGGGTCACGTCTCTTTTGAATGAGCACAAATATGGATCTTTTCCAGTCAGTTGGCCCAGTAGTTGTCATCAAAATTTCTTAGCATAGATGAATGAGTGCCTCCAGTGCTACATAAGTTTGTTCAAAGATGTAAATTTGTATTCCATCAATTCCCATTGCCTTGTTATTTGCTAATGCCTTTAGTGCACCTTGGATGTCTTCCTTCAGTAACATTGAGTCTTGATCATGTGCTAGCTCTTGAAATGGTTGAACATCGATTATTTCTTTTTGGTACAGTGACTCTGCATTCCTTCCATCTTCTTTTGATGCTTTCTTCATCATTCAATATATTGCCCATTTTGTTGTTGTTAAGTGCTGTTGAGTCAATTCTGAGTCATTTCCTTCAATATTGCAAGTTGAGGCTTGACTTTTTCTTGAGTTTCCTCAGCTTGAGAAATGCTGAGTGTGTTCTTCCATTTTGGTTTTGTAACTCAAGGTCTTTTAACATTTCTTTATATTTGACTTTGTCTTGTCGAGCTGACCTTTGAAACTTCTGTTCAGATCTTTTACCTCCTTATTGCTTCCATTTGCTTTAGCACCTTTACACTGGAGAGCAAGTTTCAGAGTCTCGTCTGACATCCATTTTGGTCTTTTCCTCCTTTCTGTCTTCTTGATGACCTTTTGCTTTATTCTCGTATGATATTCTTGATGTCATCCCATAACTCTTATGGTCTCTGGTTTTTAGTATCTAAATTCATCAAATCTATTCTTCATATGATCTCTAAATTCAGGTAAGGATATGTTCAAGGTCATATTTTAGCTCTTTTGGACTTGTTTTCATTTTCTTCAGCTTCAGCCTAGTAAAACATGAGATTGTCAGATTCAAAATGGCCAATACTAGTCCATATGAGCTCAGTAGGATATCAGGGTTCATGTGATCCATTTTGTATTTGACGAGTTCCAATTTTCCTAGATTCATGCTTGGTACATTCCATGTTCCAATTATTAATTGATGTTTACAGCTATTTATCTTTGAGTTTTGCCCCATCAGCAAATGAGGGTCCCAAAGGCTTTACTCTATTTGCATCATCACGGTCAACTCTACTTTGGGGAGGCAGCTCTTCCTGGCATATTTTAAGTGCTTTCCAACCTGAGTAGCTCATTTTCCAGCACTCTATCTGACAGTATCCTGAAGCTCTTCATCATGTTTCAGTAGTCAGTATTCTAGAGCTGACAGTGTTCTACTGCTATTCATAAGGTTTTCAGTGACAAAATATTCAGAAGTAGTCCGCCTTTCCTTCTTCCTAGTCTGTCTGTCTTCATCCGGAGGCTCTGCGGAAACCTGTCTACCATATGTGATGCTGCTGATATTTAAAATACCAGTGGCATAGCTTCCAGAACCACAGCAACCAACATGCAAGCCACCACAGTACAACAAGCTGACAGATGAGCAGTGGATACGTGGACACACGCAATGTATTGCACATGTACTGTATGTCAGCCCTATCAACCCAGCAGTCTCCTGAGCTACCTGCAGGCATCATTCCATCTGCTTGCCGTATCACGGCCCCCTTTGCTCCATACCTACCACACTGGCCTTACCTTTGAGCCCCTGGAGCAGCTCCCACCATTCCTTGTGCCAATAGGCTTATTGAACTACTCCATTCAAGTCCCTGTTCAGTGTCTCCTTTCCACAGCCCTTTCCTGACACTTCTTTCTAAAACATCCTTTCCCCCTCCATCAGTCCTCTCACACCCAGATGTATTTTTCTAATTGCCACCTACATATCAAAAACAGGTGGCATATTGTGTGCTTGGCACTTGGTAAACACTCAGACACATTTGCTGAAAGACTGAGCTCTCATTGTACATATGAGAATACTTGGGTGTACAGGGGTTAATGAATTTTCCCAAAGTGCCACTATGTGAAAAAAAGAACCAGGAATTATCTGCTTGAGTCCAGAAGTCATGTCTGCAACCACTTGTTCCTTTTTGAAGCTGAGATAGTATCAATTGTTAGAACTTTAAAGCAGGGCTATTTCAGATAAAATGTAAGGACATATGGTTATCTAGATATAATTATTTTGAAGTGTCATTGAGTCAGTTCAAAGCAAACTTGTGGTCCAGTACTTACCTAGTACTATAGTGCCCAATTAAATATAGATAAGTAACAAAGAAAGTGAACTATACATATAATCCGACACTCATTAAATCAGATTATATTAACGGAATATGATCTTAAAGGACAGGAAATGGTTTCCTTCTTCATTTTATCCTTTTCAATCTCTACATTTAAAAGAGGTAAGCTAGAGAGACCCCAGAGAAGAACAAGAACAAGATAAAGGATTTGGATATAGGGTTTATTTAAAAATGAAAGACACTATTTCTCTCATTCGAATACATAGGAGTACTTTATAAATAGATCAAAAACCTGTAAGAGTTGTATACTTGCTCCATTTTTATCCACATAACAGTGTGAAAGTAAATCGACCTAAGTTGTTGCAAGAGAGAGTTTAATTGCCCTCAAAGATTCCTGACTCTGGAACAGTCCACCAAGAACAAGAGTGTATGCTCTGGAATCAGCTTGGGTGGTGGACAGGAGGGCAGGGAGATTGGCGGCGAGGCAGCTCGGGCTCACACCATGTCCTGTGATTCCAGGTGTCTGTGATCAATGGAGCCAGCCCTTTTGCTTATGACTATGACCTCACCCACATTGTTGCTGCCTACCAAGAAAGGAACGGTGAGTTACAGGTGGTGTTCATTCAACCCTTGGTCAAAGACTTTCCAGGTTAGTGGAAACAGTGGATTGAAATTCTTGTCCTATGAAAATATGAAACTGGTCAGCAGTATGAGAGATAAGTGGTTACCCAGGATTTGCCTATTCCTCCCTTAGATTACACCTGTGGTTGGTTCATTGTTGTTGCTGTTAAGTGCTATAGAGTCAGTACCCACCCATAGCGAACCTGTACAAGATTTCCAAGAAGCAGTTGTAGATCTTGTGGTTAGCGGTCTAGTGTAGGTTAGTTGCTGTTGTTGTTAGGTGCCATTGACTCGGAACAGCCTCATAGCGACCCTAAGTGCATCAGAATGAAACACTCTCCAGTCCCGCGCCAACCTCACAGTTGTTGCTACATTTGAGTGAATTGTTGCTGCCACTGTGCCAATCTGTCTCCTTAGGGGTCTTCCACTTTTTCTCCAATGCTCCACTTTACCAAACATGATATTCTACTCCAGGGACTGCTTCTGAAGTATGACAGACAAAGTCTGGCCATCTGGCTTTCAAGGAGCATTTTAGCTGTACTTCCAACACAGACTGGTTTGTGCTTTTAACAATCCATGGCACTTTTAGTATTCTTCTCCAATACCATAACTAAATGCCTCAGTTCTTTTAAAGTCTTCCTTATTCACTGTCCAACTTTCACATGCATATGAAGTTATTGAAAATATCATGGCTTGGGTCAGACACATCTTAATCCTCAAACTGACATCTTTGCTCGTGAACACTTTAAAGAGGTCTTGTGCAGCAGATTTGCCTAATTCAATATGTTGCCTGATTGCTTGATTGTTGCTTCCATGAGTGTTGATGGTTAATCTGAGCAAAATGAAGTCTTTGACAACTTCAATCTTTCTCCATTTGTATGGGTGTTGTTTATTGGTCTAGTGGTGAGGACTTTTTGTTGTTTCTTGGCCCAGTGATAAGAGTTTTTGTTTTCTTTACATTGAGGTATAACCCATACCATAGTTACTTCATCAGTAATTTATTTTAATACCTCATCGCTTTCAGCAACCAGGGAGGTTGTATCATCTGCATATTGCAGGTTGTTAATGAGTCTTCCCTCCAATCCAGATGCCATGTTTTTCTTCATATTATCCAGCTTCTTGGAGTATTTGCTCAGCATACAGACTGAGTAAGTATGGTGAAAGATTATAACCCTGGCACATACCTTTCCTAATTTTAAACTATTTGGTGTTCTCTTTTTCTGTTCAAACAACTGCCTCTTGGTTCCAGTTAGTAGTGATGATTAATTGCCACAGTTAATATTCACAAGTACCTACTTTAAAAAAAAAAATCGAAGACAAAGACAAATAGCTGTCATTTGCTGGCACCCTTTGATTGTTTTGCTGTCTCTATAGTTTTGCCTTTTCCATTATGTCATTGCCTTCTTGCCTGCATGGTTTCTGTTGAGAAATCTGAGCTTAATCTGATTTGCTTGCCTTTGTAGGTTATATTTCTCTTTTCCCTAGCTGCTTTCAAGATGCTGTCTTTATCTTTGATTTTGGAGAGCTTGATTGTCTTTTAGGGTCTATCCATCCTG